CTGTGCATGCAGTGCCCTCAGAGGCCAGAAGAGGGAGCCGGATAGTTGGATCACTTGGAATTAGAATTACAGATGGCTGTGAGCCACCATGTTGGTGCTGGGAATTGAACTCCAGTCCTTTGGAAAAGCAATCGATGTGTTTCTGTGTCTCTGTCTCTGTGTGTGTTTCTCTGTCTCTGTCTCTCTGTCTCTCTGTCTCTCTGTCTCTCTGTCTCTCTGTCTCTCTCTCTCTCTCTCTCTCTCTCTCTCTCTGTCTCTCTCTCTCTTTCTGTTTTTTGAGACAGGTTTCTCTGGCTGCCCTGGATCTCCCTCTGTAGACCAGGCTGGACTCCAACTCACAGAAATCTGCCTGCCTCTGCCTCCTGAGTGCTGGGATTAAAGGTGTGTGCTACCCCACCATCACCTGGTTCAGCCAATGCTCTTAACCTATGAGCCATCTCTCCAGCCCTGACTTGTTTTTTAATGACACAGGGCACTATTATGTTGCTGAGGATGGTCCTGACTTCATGAGCTCAAGTGAGCTTCCCTCTTTAGAATCTTGAATAGCTAGGACAAGCAGCTTAATTTGGTGATTTTCTTACTTCAAGTTTGATAAGGCCAAGCCTCCTAACCCCTGTGGTAAAGTGAGTTGTGGAGTCTCTCACCAGAATGACAGTGGCCTCCAGATTACTCTTAGACAGTGTTCTTTTTAAAGTTATTCTAACAGAAAGGCCCTTAGTCTTTTGAGCTGATTAAAGGGATGTCCTTGTTCAGCCCACAGAGAGGACCTCTATTCTCCTGTCTGCCTTCTCCCGAACCTCTATTCTTGAACCTGAGTGGGGGTGGGAGGCTGAGACATGGGAAAACATGGAGAGAGACCAAGTGTCTTGGCCAACGACCCAGGCCGCCAGGACGACTTTTTTGAGAGCAATTAAAAAAAAAAAAAATCCTTGTGCTTTCTGTGTTTTGTGATTAGTGGAAGACATTTTCCCCTCTTATATTTAAAATGAAATCAGACCACCATGGCTCTCATAAGGCAGCTCGATCTTAACGAGAATCACTCTGAGGTGTTTATTCACATGAACAAACAAACAAACAAAATCTAAGACAACATTATCTTACAAAAAAGGTTGATGATTCCAAAACAGCACACACCATTTCAAGAGCAAAGGACAAAGACGTATTTCATATTGGCCGATGGAAAATGCGAATCCTATTTAGACTGGGAACTTGCTCCTGCTTGTTATTCATTGTACAGAAGTGTGTTCTTCCTAGAGTCTGGCACGATCTTGTTGGGAAGAGGGTATATCTGGTTGGGAAGTGGGTTTCATGTCTTCAATGTCAAGGCATGGACAGATTTCACTGGTTCCAGCTCTCCTGTCAGCAGCTATATGAAAATGCATCTTGGGGAAGACTCGGGGCTGACTCCAGCTTGTCAGCGCCGACACTCTGCATTTTGAATGGATTCGGAAAAGGCGGCGTTAGAAGGGGAGCGAGAAGGGGCTGAGCTCCGATTCATGTCAAGGTTGCCAAGAACCCCGTGGTTCAATCTTTCCTTCCTCTTTTTTTTTTCTAATCTACCAAAATGCATTTGTTTTTTCTTGATGGAAAATTATTTCAATGGCTTTCACCACTAATTTGTATTGAATTTCAATGTCACTGACCTCTTTTTCACTATGAAACCTACTTCATTCCCTGGCGGAGTGTGGGATTGGATGTCCCACCCAGTCAGCCTTGCTCATGAATGCCTCTTCCTCATCCAGTTTATTTCTGTATGTATGGAAGGTTGAAGCAAGAGCCCCAGTGAAGAGTGCAGCACAGGGCTGCTATGTATAGTTGTGTGAGTTGTCTAGTCCACAACCAGGACAACCATATGTAGGAGCCATAAAAGTTGAGGCTTCTTCCCCAAGCTTGTCTACACATTTACATGTCAGTATGAATAGAGACTTTTAAAATGCACATTCCTTGGCTTGGTTAGCCGATTAACAGGTCATTTAACTTCCTTTGCTTAAAACCAATATTCCACTTTAAAAAGAAAAAGAAAGAGAGAGAGAAAAAAAGAAAAAAAAGACCTGGGTGATGGTGGCACACACCTTTAATCCCAGCACTTGGGAGGTAGAGGTAGGTGGATCTCTGAGTTTGAGGCCAGCCTGGTCTTCAGATGGAGAGTTCCAGGACAGCCAGGGCTGTTACACAGAGAAACCCTGTCTAGAAAAACAAAATAAAACAAACAAACAAAAAAACCAAGAACAACAAAATAAGAGATGAACCCGAAAGTGCATCCTTTTATTTCGGACAACACAACAGAACACAAATGAAGTCACTAATATATTGGTAAAGCAAAACACACACACACACACACACACACACACACACACACACACACACACACACACCACATGCATATGCTCACAACCCTGGCAAACATAGAGAAATGGGGTGAAATCTTTGGCTCATACAGTCAGCTGCCACAGAAGTTCCACCCAAGACCCACAGCTCTGGCACCAAGGCAGTCAGTGGTGGTGCCTGGAGACATCAGCCATGCTCTTTCCAAGTGAATGCTATGGTCAGGCATGCTGGTGGCAAACGACCGAGCCCGTGTCATTGTGTCGGTCCAGCCTGTTCCACCAGGATACCTCATCTGCCAACAAGCCTCTCTTTCACGTCTTGCACTGTGGCAGAGGCCAGCACAATCTGCTTCCCTGTCTCCAAGCCCATAATACAGCAGTAGTGATTGACAAAGAGAAGGGCATCCCCTGAAGCCAAGCAAGGCCAAGTTTGCTGTCTTGTGTGATAGATGACCCTGAGAATATCAGAAGTGACAGAAACAAGTAAAGGCAACCATGGAACTACAGTGTATTTGCCATCAAAATGAAGTTTCAGCTGCAGGCAGAGCCTTCAGGTCTCAGACACAGACAGTCTACACCCTGACAGGTGATTTCCCACTTGGCCGCGCTTTGATCTCCTACTTGTCTGTGCTTAGAGGACAGTGTCCAGCTGTCCAAGAAGGACTTGGCTGTGTTCTTCTCCAAGTCCATCTTGGCTGTCTATTCTGTGTACCCTGTGGGTGTGTTCAGACCTGTCCCCAAAGATGGCACCCGTATTGTCATAGTGAAATGACCACTGTCATATCTAGGTAATCATTGTGGTAAGCTCTTATCACTGCCCTAGGTGCCACCAGAAGCACAGAGTCCTGGTCCTGGCTCTAGAACTCCGTTTCCAGCAGGGAGCCTGTCACCGGCTTGTTTCTCTAGCAGTACCTCTGCACAGGCGTGGGTCTGGATGCTGGCTTGATTGGTCCCTTCACTGCCCGCCCCTCCCCCACCAACCCCTGCCCCAGCTTTATACTCAAGGCCCCTGACTCTATACTGAGAAATCTACCTTTGGAGTCAAGGGCATCTACCCTAGTACTGTGTCTAATTAATGACAAAGTCTCAAAGGTTTCATGGTCCTCCAGTTACTTCATTCTCAAAATAGCTTTTAAACAAACTTTCCAGTGCAGAGGGTCCTAAAAAGATTCATCCATCCCCATACCCCAGGGTTGTTTGGGGTTTTTTTGTTTGTTTGTGTGTGTGTGTGTGTGTGTGTGTGTGTGTGTGTGTGTGTGTATGTTTGTTTTGTTTTTTGTATTTCGAGACAGGGTTTCTCTGTGTAGCTTTGCGTCTTTCCTGGAACTCACTTGGTAGCCCAGGCTGGCCTCGAACTCACCTGCCTCTGCCTCCCAAGTGCTGGGATTAAAGGCATACGCCACCACCGCCGGCTCAAACCCCAGTTTTAACAGCAGTCTGAGTACAGGCTCTCACCACCTTAGTCCACTACTTTGAGATAAGGCAATGCTGAGCAGAGCCTGAGACTAAGCCACTTGAACAAGAACAACTGAGCTATAGGGGAAGGAGCTTGAGGAAGCCCTACTCCAGGAACACCTCCAGGTTATTGGAGAGATCGGGCGGCTGCACGAAACACAGATCAATAAGAATACCCAGAGTGCCACCCTCCTGTGAGCCCGTGGGAGAGAGCAACTGAACAAACTTACTGTCAGGCCTCTCTCCAAGCCCCCTCCCCCATACATTAGGGAAATCTTTTCTTGGGCAAATGCCCCACAGACCGTACCTCCTACCTGGGCCTCACCAACCAGGAGCACCGGTCTGTCAGAGCCTCACAGGGGCCTGGTAGGCTCCACAGCCACAGCCTGGACCTGCCATGCTGCTCTCAGGCTCCCCAGCCTCATTCAGAAATCCAATTTTTCAGTGGCAAGCCTGGACAATGCCTTTCACACATGGCTATAGAAGCCATTTGCTTTTAACAGAAGTGCCGGGGAGATCCGCATGTGATGACCGGAGCACTTACTTTATTAAAGCAATAAACAAAGCCAGGAGTAGCGGCCCAGAGACTGTGATCCCAGCACCGGTCTCAGCTACACAGTGAGTTCACCTCAGCCTGGGCCAGCTACATGCGACCCTGTCTCAAAAAACAAAACAAAACAAGGCATGGACTCCTTAAACAAACAGACAAAGCAAAAAACCACCACCACCACCAACAACAACAACAAAACCCATAGGCTGGAAATGAATCTCAGTGATAGAATGTTTGAGTAACATGGACAAGGCCTTGCTCATCTCCAGCCCAGAGAGAAAAGGGTGGGGGGTGGGGGTGAGGGAGGTGGGCATGGAGATATATCTGATTTATTTTATATGATCTGAGGTGTAGAGTTTTGAGGTTTATAAGATCCTAGTGGGAGTCATTCCACTCCTAAAGTGGGCCTTTTGGTCTCTCATGGTGCTGATATTTCTAAGTGTGGCTGTGGGCCTCAAGTCTGTATGTAATTTATGTGCGCATATGGTGGAGTGTACAGATTGCTTTGCCTTAACCAAATGTGTGGTTACCCATACTATCCAAGCCTATACCTGAGCAGAAGAGCTAATTTCAACACAAATTCTTATAACTAAAGAAATGTATTATTAACTAAGGGAAATCAGCAGGATCTTATCATTTAACAGATTCCATACCCGGACACTAAGAAGTATATATGTTAATGTTTATTGATCCATTGGGCTACTAATTCCAATTTTCACTGTAATAGCATAGAAACACAAGCCTGTAATCACAACACTTCCAGGGCAGAAGCAGATGGATCAGTGGCTTGAAGCAAGTTGGAGGCCAGCGTAGTATATGAAACCTTCTCTCTCTAAAAAAGCCAAAAGAATAGTAGGCAAGATGTTAGACTTTGGGACTAGAAAGGTTAAAAGTGGGTACAGCTTTTGTAGATAGAACCACTCAGTTCCCAGCACCCACATCAGGCAGCTCACAATAGCTTGTACCTCCAGTTCCTGCTGACCCCATGCCTCTGGCCTCAGTGGGTACCTGCACTCATGTGCCCACACTCTGACACACATACTTGTCATTTAAGATCTAGGAATTTAAAGCTGGTAAAATGACCCACATCTTAAGCTCTTAACCAGTTTAAAGCCCATGTACTTTAAAATTCAGTGTTATATAGATGAGGTTCTCTTGTAACCAAGAGCTTGCTAAAATCTAAGTCTTTGGGCTTTCCACCTATATGAAAATAATAATAGTTTGTCCATCTGTTTAGAGAAAAATGTCTCAAAATGGAGAAGAGATTCTGTAGTGAAATTAGATTAGGAAATGCTGCATCAGAGTTAACCTGCTTGTGGGCTTCTTCCGGAAACCTTACCACCACTGTGTATGGGAAGAGATAGACAGCTACAGTATGCAGCGTCTCCCCTGTGTCCTGTAATGAAAATTCAGAAATCTGACAGGACACTGAGGGAAGTAGCCGGCCTTGCTGTGCAAGCCCCTTCTCGTGCCCAGGTAGAATGACTATTATGTGGGTCATTATTAACAAGATGGAACTCTAAAGGGACCGTGGGACCAAGAGTTTTAATTATCAGTGGGAGGAGGAAGAGGGTTAAAAACTCAGTTTCCTTTTTGCTGCTGCTGCAGCCTCTGCCCACCTTTAGGTGAGAAGCATAAAGCCTTCCTTGATTTAGGAATACCAAACGGATTGCCCGATGGCGGATTGCAGGTGTGGTTCAGGAGGAGGGATGTGCCTCGGATGCTTCTGGGGCCAGCTCTGATTTTCACTTTGAGAGGACGGTAGCACTTTTCAAGTTCCAAGAACGGGAAAGCAACCCCAGAGGAACTCAGAGAGGGCTCTGAGCAGACTCACAGGGCTCTTGAGGTGCACAGGCATGGGTGTGAACGTTACCCAGCTCGCAGGTAGAGAGGTGGAGGGGATTCGCTGAGAAAACAAAACAAAACACAAAATTAGAAACAAATGTTGCTGCTTTGCTAGGCATGGCGATACCATCTGCAAAGTCAACACTGTATACTTTTTCATTTGTTTGTTTGTTTTTGAGGCAAGATCGCATCCTGTAGTCCAAACTGGCCTTGAATTTGCAGCAACCCTCCCTTGTCAGCCGGGATTATATGCAGGAACTATCAGGCACAACTAAGAGTTCACGTTTAAGAGATCCTTTTATATAACATAGAAAGATAATCCAGATTTTTCTCTAGTGAATTTGTTTTATTACTGACAATAATCTTAGAAAATCTTCTAAGTCTTTTTACCTTAGACCATTTATGTTGCTTTAACAAAATTCCTGAGGCAGATAATGAATAAAGATAATAGACTTGTTTAGCTCAGTTCTCATCCTGGGGTGGAGCGCAGCATCAGCTTGGCTTCGGGTATGAGCCTCATTGCAGATGGCGGGAGTGCTTTTCCAAGTACAGAGTGTGTTTGTGGAAGAGACTAAAGGTTACCTTGCTTAGCCTTTAATCCCAGCAAGGATCTCTGAGTTCGAGGCCAGCTTGGTCTACAGAGTGAGTTCCAGGATAGCCAGGGCAACACAAAGAAATCTTGTCTAGAAAATCAAAATAAAACAAAAAAGTCTACTCCTAAGGAAATTAGGATCCAGTCCCACCACACCCCCGGACCACCTGGTCAGGCGCTCTACAGCCTAGTGTGGAAAGTCATAGCCCAGACTCTGGAAAGACCCTCTTCCACTCATGAGAGTGCAGCCCCTTGACCTAGTTCTCTCTTGACATCCTTACATTGACAATCAAATCTCCATGTGCATTTTGGAGGGGATAAATCATGCACGAATCACGGCAGCATCATAAATTAATGGAAATGTCATGTACAATTTTCCGATTAATGTCAGACGTGGGAAACCTGATCAAGTTTCTTTCCTTTGTCAGGTTTCAGAGCATATTGAACACTCTTGTCAGTGACTAACGCGATCCTCTCTGAATTAAGACACTCACTTAACGGTTGCTACAATGTGCTCTTGCGGCAGCTCGCTAAGGAGCTTAGGCTGAGCCCCTCCACCTTCCTTCCATGGGGCCAGATGAGTTAACACAGTGGGCAGCAGGGATTTTCCTGAAAAAGATCCCTCCGCTTCCATGGCTGGCACTAACTCAAGTGTGCGCAGAAGTGACTGTGAACCTCCTAAATATATCCTACTGAATTCAAACTGAATGTATCCTCAGTTTAACTTCCCCATAATCTAAGCTCCCAAGTAGCCTTTGTCGCTCCAATGGTAGCAGAGACGCTTCTGTGAAAAAGGAGAGCTTTGCTGACAGCAGTTAAAATGCCTTCGTTGTGTAAATTTTAGCAGGAACATATGACCTGTGAATATATTGCCAGAATCCTTCCCTGACTAAGTGGGGGCTTTTTTTTTTTTTAAATGGGGTCTTATGACTTGGCCTTGGCAAACCTGGAACTTTCTCTACATATACCAAACTAACCTCTAGCTTGTAGCAATCCCCCTGCCTCTGCCTCTCAATTGCTGTTGTACACTACTGCATCTGGCTTAATGGAAGCTTCTGATGGATCTTTCTTTCCCGTTTGTAGCTGGCACATATTTTTTCACTTTGTCGTTTCTTCCAGCTTGGAATTCCTGTGTCATACTAAAGATGAGACACCCATCTTATGACCACAAAATGACAGTATGAGGGCAAAATGTCATCTGCTCAGACAGAGGCACAGGAAGCTGCTGGCCTTATGTCACTGTTTACCTTCCAACTTCTTGAGATGAGGGGGAAAAAATCCTGTCATGTCTTCTGTTATTTGCTAATGAATGCCACCACAAATTGAAACATTTCTCATGATAGAGATTTTGGATTAAGGCTCTAGGAACAGAATTTCTTTAGTTACCTACCATGGGACTTCTAACATTTAGAAACAAAATTGGTCTATGCAATAAATAAGTGCATTGTTTCCATAGATCAATCTACTTCTCATTGACATTTTTCAGTTGAGAAATGTTTAAAATCTTAAAATTATATGTCAAATATTTGAGTTAAATTTAATTTAAATTTCATTGCAATTATATGGTTGCATAGGGTTGGGAATGTAGCTCAATCGAGCATTTGTCTAAGGCACACAAAAATCCCAGCTTCAATTCTGAATACGGAATTAAAAGTCTGGTAATACGGAAATTTCACTTAGGATGTAATACTGATTGACTGAAGATCGCTTTTACAATAGCTTTTTATTTCATATATCTTCACTTTCCCTCTTATAAGCTAGAATTAATTATTTTAAAACATTTTTAATGATTTATATATTCTTATTTTATGTGCATTGGTGTTGTGCTTCCATGTACATCTGTAAGGAGGTGTCAGATCCCCTGGAACTGGAATTACAGACAGTAGTGAACTGCCACGTGGGTGCTGGGAATTGAACCGGGGTCCTCTGGAAGAGCAGCCAGTGCTCTTACCTGCTGAGCCATCTTACCAGGCCCCTAGAATTAATTATTAGACACAAATGACATAGATGAGTTTGTTGTAATTTCTTCATATGTCATGAATAATCTCTTACATTTTTGTTCCAATAAGGTATATAGATATAATGTGCATATGAAGACCTTGTAAAGTAAGATTTTACATCTGTCCAGTCACTACTTAAGCCATAGTACTTTGGGGTTCTCCGGATGATGCTTTAGAACTTGTCACAACTTTACTGAGAGCCTACCAGATAGCTTCTCCTTTGTCAGCCCCACGGATAAATGAATTTCACCTGGCTTTTCATGACTATAGGGTGCTCACTAAAATTCAATGTTCTAAAAAACATTTATGTATTTAATGTGTTGCATGTAGGTGCTTATAAGTATTTTCACGTGCCACAACACACATGTGGAAGTCAAGACAACCTGCAAGAGTTAGTTCTCTCCTTCTACCGTGTGAGTTCTCAGGATTGAACTCGGGTTGCCAGGCTTGGTGGCAAGCACCTTTACCTGCTGAGCCGTGTCCTAGGGCTTCAGTTGTTTTTATTTCCTATTTCATGTTATGCTTTTGGATATTCCCCTAAAATTCTTGTACTTCAATTCATGGTACTAAAATCATCCCCCCCCCCCTTTGAAAGAGAGTCTTATTGTGTAGATCATGTAGACTGGGCCTAGAGGTCTGCCAGTCTCTGCCTCCCGAGGGTTGGGATTAACATGATACACCACTACGCCCAGCCTAAGACAGTGCTTTTAAACGATGTCGTTCCTCATGAATGGCTGAGAGTCGTGCGTATGTTTAGGAAAGACGTGTGAAAACACTGTAGGTTTTTAATGGCCCAGGTTCAGGGTGTGTTAAATTTGGAAGGAAGACGGTTTAGAAATCTTACCTAGAAGCCACCTGGTTTACCAGCTCTAACAATTGAGACCCCAGACTCTGAAGGAGTGGCGCCTGAGATGGCGAAGCAAGGACGTCTGTCCCGCAGATGGTGCAGATGGAGGCGGTTGAGGGCTGGGGTGTGAGAGTCCGAAGGGGACGCCCAGCAATGTGTGGACTGAGAGAGGAGGATGCTGGTGATGAGCTTGTTTGCTATTTCAGTTAGAATTAACCTTTCCCGGACCAACCCAACACAGAAATACCTCGATTTAATAACGCCTTCCTTTCATTATTCATATTTTATCAATGGTTTAATAGAGTGGTATGGAAATTGCGATGAAAGGTGATTACAAAGTAATTGATTCTTTAAGCCCCATAGCTTAACACTGACAAGGTATTCCTGCTCCCATTTCTTTGCGGTTTCTTCAAAGTGACTTTTCTTTTAGTGCTGGGCTTCTCTTGGCCCATGGGAAATCAAAGATAGAGTCTGATTTCTAATGAGGTCACTGCAGGCATTTTGGTCAGGATAGTTTTGTGCTGTACAGGACTCTTCTACACACACTAGGACACTTGCAGCATCTCTGGTTCCTAAGCACTAACAGGGATTCTCCTACATCAGTATGATAACCTGAAATCTCCTGAAACACCCTTTCCAGGAAAGGGGACCAAACCCTCCCCTTGTTTAAAATCATGGGTAATTGGAGAGACTAAACTGTCTTCCACACCCTTTACACGTGACATGATGTGCCAGGCAGGGTATTTGTTTCCAGCCCTGGGAGAGCGCAGAGGGGTCCCTCCCTGAATCTGATGGCTCCTGCAGGTATTGAGTGGGATTTTCAAATAAAAATATTCCAGCAATGTCATTCCTGCTGAAAACATCTGAGAACTTTCTCTCCCGAGTTTACTTTTAAAACCTGAGTCATGCGCCTTTGAATCTGTTCAACAGAGGGAACATTCTTCCTTTGGGACAATCCCAGAGTCACTTGTAGTCAAGCCTCGAATAAAATGAGTAAACAAGGCGGACGGTATTATTTTTAGCTGAAAGCACTTTTTTTTTTTTTATTGATCGTTTATTGGTAACTCCCTCACTCACACGCTAGCTTCCTTGAGCATCTGACAGAACGAGGCAGTCAAAGGATTACTGCAGAGTGAATGGACCTCTCCAGTCAAGGACTTTGCGAACTTTTTCTAGGAAAGAGCATGAGCGAATTAGGTTGGATTGACCCAGCCATGTCTGCTACTTGGTCCATGTTGTTATAAAGTTCTGGGACTGTGGCTGAAAGCACTTTTGCAGAACACAAACTTAGGAACTGACACCTAGCAGTTTTGAGACTGTGGAAAGTGCTTGGCTCAGGTTTTAATAAGAACCACCAGTCAATTATTTCTCATATTCTTACTATCCCAAAGTTGTTACTGTTGTGTTAGGCACCATGGATCTAGAAATAAAATACAGTTCCTGCCTTTAAGCAGGCTATTACCTGTTGAGGGAGCTAGACAAGGAAACCAATTATTGGAACAAAAACATTCAAGTGCAAGCTAAAAGAATAATATCATGCTGGGCGGTGGTGGCGCACGCCTTTAATTCCAGCACTCAGGAGGCAGAGGTAGGTGGATCTCAGTGAGTTCGAGGCCATCCTGGTCTACAGAGCAAGTTCCAGGACAGGCTCCAAAAAAACCAAATATATATATATTTCTGTTGTAGGTACATGAAGGAAGGACACCAGCCCAGCCTAATGGGAAGCGAGGGAAGCTTGCAGATGGAAGTTGATATATTAATCTAAGTTCTGAATATACAGTTTTAATGGACTTTGGGAAAGAATGGACAGTATTCTAGGCAGAAGCAGAGACACACCCAGAGATAGAAAGGATTGTAAACATGGTATACTTTATGGGTTTCAGGTTGTTTGATGTCTGGAAGAGACGGTGCCTGTTGGGGGAAACAGGAAATGACACCAGCAAACAGGCAAGGTCACTCACTCATCACAGCACTTTCTTGTGAATTTCGAGATGAAAGATGGGTGGCTGTGATGAATTTAAAGAGTAGAAATGATGCTTGCATTTTCAGTAGTTCCAGAAACAGAAAGCAAAGTGATCCAGAGGAGGACGAGACCAGAGACCACAATGAAGAAGTTAGGACAGATGTGGGAAACGGTGAGGTTCTAAAGGGCAGGTGTGGAGAACGAGTGGAGGATTGGAGACTCTAAACACTTGTAGCCATCGAAGTACAGTTATGAATCAGGAAAATAAACCCGTTCTCCTCAGGATCAGCATAGAGAATTTAAAAACCAGCGTGAGTGCACAAATTCTACACATGGAAAGGTCATATTTTAACTTAGTAGAAAATGTATGGAATGTTTAAGACAAGGTGTCATTTAGACATGTATGTTTGTTTTCTACCTAACAAATATCAACAACCTTGCAGTTTGGGCTATTTGAGTATATTTGTGGTTCTATAGGTCAGAAATCTAATCAAGGAGTTAGTGGTTCATTCCTCACTGGATCTTCCAGGTAAGCATCCATTTCCATGACTTTTCTAGTTTCTAAAAGCTCCCGTCATCCCTTGGGCCTTGGCCCCTCCTCCCGCTCCAGCTCTGACAGCATTGCACTGGGCCAATCTTTCTGTTGTCACATTTCTGTGACCAAGGCCAGCATAGGAGCTCTACTTCTGTGGACTCATAATTAGGTTGCCCCTCCTCAGGTAATTCTGAACAATCTCCTCATCCTTAAATACAACTTTAACCACATCTGGAAAAATCCCTCATATCAAGTAAGAAAACAAGTCCATAGGCCTGGGGTCTGAGGCATTGACAGCTTAGTAGCACTGTTAGTTTGTAGCTAGAGTTTTCTCTCTGGGTCCCACCAAGTCCCGGCAGTCCAACAGCCCACTTATAAAATAAACACACAGACGCTTATATTATTTAAACTGTTTGACCTAATGGCTCAGGCTTCTTGTTAACTGTTCTTATATCTTAAATTAACCCATTTCTATAAATCTATACCTTGCCATGTGACTCGTGGCTTACCCGCATCTTCACATGTTGCTTGTCATGGCAGCAGCTGGCAGTGTCTCTCTGACTCAGCCTTCCACTTCCCCGAATTCTTCTCCTCAGTGTCCCGCCTATACTTCCTCCTGCCTGGCTACTGGCCAATCAGTGTTTTATTTATTAACCAATCAGAGCAACACATTTGGCTTACAGAACATCCCACAGCATTGGTTTGTCCACAAATAGGCAAAAACAAACAAACACATCAGTTTAGAGCCCTTCCTTACATTATAAAGAATAAATTGATGATGATTCAAGTTCCTTAACATAGATGTTAACAAAACTACCAAGACAAGAAAAAAAATACTGAAAACCTTTTTTATGATAATACCCATAATAGTTAAAGTATCCTCAGCATATAAAAAAAAATCTATATGAGACAAAAAAAAAACCTAGTTAGAAAAAACGGACAAAAGATAAAACAGATGATCTAGAGAAGAAATAAATGTAACCAATAAACAGAAGGGGAGTTAAATTTCAGCTCTCACGGAATATAATTAAGAATTCATACAGATACAGTAGGTCTTTAAATAATAACAAGAGGTTCATGAAGTATATTCAGAATAATAGTTCCCTTCGGATTGAGGTAGAGAGGAACTTTAATTGGAAACATTAATATTATTGATAAATATTTTTGTTTCTCAAATGGAGCAATAAACTCAGAGATGTCCATTTTAATTTTAAATGGCATGAACATGTGTTATAGTTAGCTTGTCACATTGACATAAAGCCAGAATCACCTGGAAAGAGAGTCTCAGTGAGAATCGTCTACGTTAGGCTGGACTGTGGGAGTGTCTGTGTTTGGTGGCTTATCTTGATTATAGTAATTGTGTCAGGAAGAGCTGCCCACTGCGGGCAGCAACATTCCCTGGGTAGGGGATCCTGGACTGTGTAGCAGTGGAAAAAGTGAGTTCCACTCTAGCATGCATGATTTGCTGTTCTCTGTGCTTGACTGTGGATGTAATAATGTAACTAGCTGCTTCCAGCCCCCTCGGCTTGGCCTTCCTCACCATGGTCTGATAGACTGTGAGTCTGTTACAACCTCCTCCTACCACCTTGAACTTCCCATATTGAACCATTGCTAAAATAAAGCCTTCTCCCTTAAGTTGCTTTTGTCAGGATTTTTTATCACAGCAACAAGAAAATAAACTGAGACAATATAAATATTTTATTTATTTTTCTTTATGTATTCAAAGTTTGATGTTTCTAAATGGAAAAACAGGTTTTAAAGCTCATTTTGAAACTACTTACTAGAAATAATTTAAGCATACAGAAAAGTTGCAGAAGGATGAAAAAGAAATCTCATAGATTTAATTGTGTAATAATGTTCTTTTGGGGGGAAATAATCCATTCCTGGTTCATGTGTTGTACCCAGGTGACATATTTTTCTAGCCTCCTTTACTTTCAAGTACCAACATGAACTCTGTTAAGACTAAAGGGAGTTTTCTCTAGGAGCTCAGAGAAGCCAGGGACTAGCCTCATTGGACTCAGAGGGAGAGCTTTTGGAGTTTTAAGGAGGTGAACTGGCTTGACGAGGGAGGCTTTATGAGGAAGGGAGGAAAACCAGCTGATGGACATGGGGGAACTGGAGAAGATGAGCCAGAAACGGTGACGATGCCACCATGGTCGAGAATCAAGGACACTACCACACAACAGCGGTCAAGGCCTCGTTCGGGTCTTCTTCATTTTAGGTTTCACAGATGCCACCCAAAGCTAAAGGGTCATTACTACCACGTTGCTCAGTTAAGTGCACAAGGAGTTCACACCAGTCAAAGTCAGGACAAATCACCGCCACCTTCACTTTCGAGTCTCGTCATCTCTGGATGTTGGTGGCAAGGTTTTACATCGAAAACTTTGAAGTTTCGTTTCAAGATTATGAAAGCAGTACCATGTTTTGCTGCAGACATCAATTCCTCCGGTGTCTCTGGAAACAACAGAACTGGCGGCAAGCCTTTGTAACCGGAAGGTCCTGATGCACGAGGTCTCATACAGATGCAGTTTACCCTAACTGACTCCTCGCTCCTCACTGTCAGAGCTAATCATGTTGTTAAGGCCTGAACCCTGAACTTGCAGACACTTCCATTAGGCTTACAGCTTTCTATCTCATGAATTTATCCTCTCCAACTTTGAACTTCATGTTAAAGCCAAAATTGCTTCCTCCTACCAATGTTTCCATGCCCACATACTCCCTCTAACACGGCAAGTGACTCATTTGCAGAATTTATATTACTAAAAATTTAGTTTCAAACCTTCATCCAAATAGTGGTCCCTTGTTTTTTCTTTTTCTGTGTCTGTAGGTTCGTGTGTGTGTGTGTGTGTGTGTGTGTGTGTGTGTGTGTGTGTGTGTATGTATGTGTGTACGTGTGTATGTGTGTACGTGTGTACATGTATGCACAAATATGTAGCAGCCTGAGGACAACCTCAGGAGTTGTTCCTCAGGAATCACCCAGTTTGGTTTTTCCTTTTTTGTTATTTCTTGTTTTTGTTTTTTTGAGGCAAGGTCTCTCATTGGCCAAGGGCTGTCCCATTCAGTTAGGCTGGCTCATCACAGGACCCACCCCACCCCCAGGGATCTATCTGTCTACACTTCCCCAGCACGCTCACTCACCACATGATTTTTTACATGGTACCCCATATCCAAGAAGAAATGTTGCATGGATAAAACAACTCTGTGAGGGGCTGACCTCTCATCATCTCAGGACCCAAGTTTCTGTGATAGGAACTACCTCTTCTGATGCTGGCACCCAGAAGACAAGCATGTTCCCTTCCTCTGTAGCGGCTCCTCTAGTATTCCTTACTCGTGAATAACAGAAATGGTGTACAGAGCCAACAGGGCCAGCTTCTTTGTGTGTTCCTCTTTCCCTTCTTCCTTTCTTTATCAAATGAAATCAAGGTGCTAGATGCTTACATGTTAGATTCATGGCAATAAAGAGTCTATCTGCTTCAAAGGCTTAGACAGATGAGGGTTTGGGGTGTGGAGTGAATCCATAGCTTCTCTGTCCTTTTTTGCCTCTTAACCAAGATTCCAACTCTTGCCTGTCTGATTCTCTCAACCACTAGATTATGGAAAACTAGATCTTTGAAATAAGAAAGGGAAGAAAAGTCTTCATATATACTCATTTTATTTGGGAATAAAATGGTGCCCCATAATTTAGAATTAAAGAAAGGGATGCTTTGTTGTAACAATGAAGGTTATTAAGGATAGGAACAAGTTGGTCACAGCACTCTGTCTGTGCCTGTCATCACAGTAGCATTGCCAATTTTCCTCCAGTTGGTAACTGCTGGTCCGAATCCTTTCATGTGGACCCTTACACACGTAAGAATAAATATTAGAATATCTTCAAATCTGTTTGATAACAGGTCTATAAAAAGCAATAACCAGAGGAGGGGCAGACTATCTCAAAACTCTGAAAAGATCCATTCAAAGCTACTCTACTGAAAATGCACTGACTTATCCAAAGTAATAAAGAAGTATATATAAAATTTAATAGTCATCAGTATAAAAGGCCATAATACTTGAGACGTAAGACTGTGTTGATCATGTTAAGTTAAATTGATAACCCAAGCCAGGAAAGTGGCACAAGGCTAAACTCACACTTATGATTCTTCTGTTTAATAAGTCTATAAATGTTTAACATGATGAATAAAAGCAATATGCATTACAGCAGCTTTGTTTGACTGCATTTGGGCAAACAAGAGCTCAAGGTTCCCTTGACGTCTTCCTCACTGTTCCAACACTGGTTCTGTCTCCTCTTGAGCCTGAATTCCTCCTGATGCCATGGCTACGTCTTCAGCCAAGGCTCTCATCTCATGCTGAGGCAGTGAGAGGAAAGAGAGCCAGGGTGAACACGAGGAGCTAACGTGACACCACGTCAGCACCTGCCCTGACATATCGGAAAGGCCATGGCGTCCCTCCAGACATGGAGAGACATACCTGAAGGAACGGAAAGGAAAAGGCAGACGCAGAGCAGCTGAGAGCATGAACTTTGACCTTTAGCGAATTTGGGTTTCGCTTCTGGCAGACTTTGGACAAGCTCACTAATCCTGCTTAGCTTCGGTTCCCTTCGGTAGTAAATGAAGATAACAGTGGTACTATCTTCTAGAGTTTATTATGTCCCATTCGATAACATATGCAAACACTCCACAGACAGTGAGCATTCAGAAAGCCAGCTAATAATACATCACTGACGCTATCAATATAACAATACGTTTGTTTAAAAAACACAATGTAGCTTTAGTAGCGAGTGCTTCCACATCCTTTATTATTCAGTAATGACCTTGACCCCAAAAAGTCTGTGTTGGCATCAGCTTGTCAGCTGAGGAGAGTCGGGTGTTAGACAAAATGGTAATGTCTGTCTTTGATGACCAGAGCTGTATCGTTTGGTCCCTCTCTATCTCTCTGTCTCTGTCTGTCCACCCCCGACCCACCCCCATTCTGTCTACCTCTCTCTTCGCTATTTCTCCCTCCTCTCTTATTTTATTATTTCTTTCTTCATCCCCCCCTCCTCTCCCCTCTCTTTTTTTATTTATTTATTTTTATGTGTGTATGACATGGGGGCACCCATTTGGCACAGCACACACGTAGAGGTCAGAGGACAAGCTCGGCTGTCAGTCCTCACCTTCCACCTTGTTCAAGGCACAGTCTCTTGCTCGCCACAGTCGGGCTGGTGCATTAGCTCCAGGAGACCCTCCTGACTCAGCCCCCCATCCCAAAGTAGATGAGCTGGGATAAAATCTCACGCCGCAGCATCCAGCTTTACATGCGTTCCGAGGATCTGAACTCTTGCCCTTATGCTCCCTTTATCTACTGAGCCTCTTACAGACACTAGGGAGGTGTCCTGTCGCTGAGCTACACATGCTAGCAAAATCATACTTGTTATGTTTAGTTTTTGTGGCAGGATCTCACTACTTTGCCCATGCTGGTCTTAAACCGGTAGGTTCAAGAGATCCTCCTGACTCAGCCTCCCAAGTAGCTGAGACTAAAAAGCACATTCTATTACATGCAGTACAAGATTTACTTTTCCCATAATTTAGGAGGTTGAGATAAGATGATTGTCATGAGACCAGCCTGGGCTACATAGCAAGTTGAAGCCAGCAAGGACTATAGATAGGCAGACTCTGTTTCAAAAACAGAACAGACAAAGACGTGACTTTGTAGCTATGGAAAGCAAAGGATCGTTCAGAATCAAAGACAGTTCCTGAGATTCTGAGAATATTAGTAGATTCTAGTAGTGGGCCCACAACAGAGACGGGAAAAAGAAAAGCAAAACAGTGTTGAGTCTTAGATATAGCAGTCATTGCAAGGACCGAGAGAAGCTGATGAGAAGCATATGGATATTTGAGGTTGGATCCTACACAGAAGTCTGGGCTAGAGATACACATTTTGAACTAATTTCTATGGAGGTATATTCAAACCTAAGTAATAGTTCTCAGTGTTGGTCTCAATTGTTTGGTTGTTTGGTGTGTGTGTGTGTGTGTGTGTGTGTGTGTGTGTGTGTGTGTGTGTGTGTGATACTAAAGGTTGAACCCAAAACATGCTAGGTCTGTGTTCTACCACTGAACTGTATCTTGAGCTCTCTTTTTACTTTTGACTTTGACACAAGGTATCACTAAGTTGCCAGTCTGGCTTTGGATTTATTTTGCAGCCCAGGCAGGCCTTGAACTTGCAGTTCTTCTTCCCTGACCTCTGGAGGAGTGGGGTGTTAAAGCTGGACTACGGAACTCTGGGCTGAGGGGCTGCTTCAGGAGGATTGTGCCTTGAGATGCATCAAGACTCTGAGGCTGCCTTCAGTTCCTGGACTATCGGAGTGAATTCCATGCTGAGAAATGCAGCAAGCATCTAGGGAGGCCTCCTGGTGAGTCATAGTCTGGTTTTGTTCTGTGGGATCCTTATCTGGGACATGGAGGGGGTTCAACGGGACTCTGATATTCTCCAGTCCAGGGCATATAGCGAGATGTCGCCTGGCCATCTGGTTCTGGTTCTGGTTCTGGTTCTGGTCGGGAAGTTTTGTTTGTCTTGTTGCAAAGTTTTGTTCATCTATTTCCAGAGAAAGTTGTATCTGCTTGTTTTGTTGGTAACTTCCGTTTGTTGCGCTGTTTGTCTTGTTAGAAACTTTTGTGTTTCTCACGAGAGTTGTGGCTCCCTGTTTTGTTGGTAAGTTTTGTCTGTCTTCTGGTATGTCCACAAGTTTTGTTGCAAGCATGGAGCTGAGACAGAAATGGATCAGATATGTTTTCCTGTCTCTGCTGCCGACAGTACCAGTCACCTCCGCTGCCATGACTGCATTTATGGCCGGGGCTCAGAATTTATCTCTGGTCACTAGATTTTGGTTAGTAGGAGTTCAGGTGTCTTTTGGGTATGGATAACATTAAGATTGTTTTATGCTATTCTTCTTTATTGGAAAGCTGGCTCTAGAGTTGGATTATGGCTCTCCCTTCACTAGACCCAGGCGTATTTTAAAGTTTTCTCTATGTCCTGTGTCAATCTGAGTCACCTGACAGAGTGAGGGTGGGGGAAGAAAGGCAGAACAGCCAAAATATTAGACTTGGTTTATGCGAACATTCTGTGCCTTGAGATTTATAAACTTATTGTGTTGGATATGGTTTAAACAATCTGTAAAATCTGAAAAATTAAAAAAAAAGTTAAAAGTAGTAATGCTGGGAGTTGATAGTTAAAAATCTATGCATGGATAATTTTAAAGGAACCATGTGGCATGATTTCATTTTGGATTCCCGCCATCTTTAGGTAGCCACGTGTCTGTCAACCATCTTTGCTAGGATTGGAGAAGACAGATGTCATGTGATTTCACCACCATCGTGGTTAAAGGTGGAGTGGACCTACCAAGGGGGCAACAACCAGTCTCCAAGGTATTTTGGATTAGGATAGATTTTTGTATGATAACCCATGTCCTATCCTGAAAACAAGATTTATGAAAGATCGGATTTTTTTTAAGAGTCATCCAGGTGATAATGGTTTTAAAGACATGAAGGGATCATAGGGAACCGCTAAGGTTTGCAAATGTGTGTCAGGGCTAGAGTTTCTAAAGGGAGCCCATTTGCAATGGTGGACCTTAGCAGTTTTGGAAATGCCAGTGCCATGTGATAGTCACCAGAAGCGCCAGCCACAATGAAATGGAGCAGACTGAAATCTAGAAGGCAGACTATGTATATGCTGCCTAGGGTGAGGCCAAAGAGATGATCCAAGCACTTTCCCATCACACAGAGATTAAACAAACAAATAAACAAAAAAATGCATCTAGCTCACCCAGGACTTGACCATTACCCCAGTTTTCTAAGGATCCCCTAGAGAAGCCATGACCCCACTGACAACAGGAAGCAGTCTAGAGAACGCGATGCCCACATTCCCAAGAGGTGGAGTGAGTGGTTTCTGGTCATTTGGTGGATGTTTGTCATTGTTTAGGGAGGTTGGCTGCAAACGGTTTTTGGTCATGGTTAGGGAGGAAACAAAGAAGGTTAGATAGGGGAACTTAAAAACCGGGGGAGGGTATAGGAAAGGGTAGAATATTGAATCTACTTTTAAAATAAAATTGATAAGATAAGAGGATAGATTATTGAATCTACTTTTAAACTAAAAAAAACAACTACTAGTCTCAAATATTTCACATTGATATAGATTTTTGTATACTGACACAAATTTAAGGTTATTTTTGTTATACTGTATATATGCTTCTACTCTTGTTTAAGGTATTGTACCTATGCAGCTCATTTAAAAATGTAATGTATAATTAAGAAATATCGGTTAGTAGTCATCTATAATAATCAAACTTGTAGTCATGTTAGGTCTGTTTTCAAGGGTAAGCCTAGATTTGTTTAGCTCAGATATGCTTAATAGATAATGGTCCCCAAACTTGTCAGAGATCTGATGAATATGGCATTTAAAATGTTTAATGGAAAAAGCTTACTATGACAGACAGAGACTCCTAGATCTTACCAGTGACCCCGAGGTCTCCAAAGAAGATAACACCATGATGTCTCCACCTGGATGGTGGTAATGCTAACCACTGAGCAAGACTGCCCGAATGCAGCACCTGCCACCAGGCCCCAACCCAAACTGTGGACAAGCGAGACACTGGAGAGTTGATTGTTCCACTTGGCCTACACAAAGCAAGGTCAGTCCCCTCATGCTCAGCCTCCACAGAAAAGCCTCTCACCTTCTGGGCCTGGCAGTCAAAGACTGATGCTGTCCTGGTACCTCAGTCCTCAGTGTCATGGAGACCAAAGGAACCTGGGATGACCATCTACATAATGAACTATTCTCTGTCATTTTAACTGATACACAGGCCATTTGATTTGGATTATACTTCATGCTATAATTGTCCTTCTCAGATCTCTGATGGTATTGACAGCTAGGCTAACTGTAGCTTTGTCAGCTTAGCAGCAGCAGGCAACCAGGTTCTTCCCCAAGGCTGCAGCCACCTCATTAACTCATTTCATAAGTAAAAATCTAGCCTTGCTTTTTCTAGAGCTACTAGGCATACTGTAGAGAAAAAGGTAGACAGATTTGTCTTGCTAACTGGCTTCATATTAAAAGATAAACAGGTTTCTAACAGGCTTCATATTAAAAGATAAGCAGGTTTCAGATATAACTTTCCACTAAAGGAACATGATTTGAAATGACTGTTCTCAGTAACAACTGCTTGTGTCTCTGGTAAATGGTTAAATGGAAAGAAAGCATGTTAAAGTCTATGCAAGTTTTGAGGGTCTAGGAAAATGTTCTAAGGTATATAAAGGTCTGAGGATATGAGAGTCTATGTAAATTCTGAGGGTCTAAGATATATAAAGGTCTGAGGATGTGAAAGCTTAAGTAAGTTCTGTGGGTCTTAGAAAGTGACCTAAGATGTAAATGCAAGTTGCAAGGATACATACATGATTTAAGGTATGGAAAATATTTCAGATTTCTTTCCCCTTCTATGGTATTGTTATACTAGGATTTCAAAAGTTCAGAGTTTAACATTAGTAAAGTTCTGATAAGCTGGTAAAGCAGTGACTACTTACTATTTAGTCACAAGCTCAAGATTTTAAGCTAGGTGGTCGTGGTGCACGCCTTTAATCCCAGCACTTGGGAGACAGAGCCAGGCAGATCTTTGTGAGTTCGAGGCCAGCCTGGTCTACAGAGCGAGATCCAGGAAAGGCGCAAAGCTACACAGAGAAACCCTGTCTCAAAAAAACAAAAAAAAGCCGGGCGGTGGTGGCTCACGCCTTTAATCCCAGCACTCGGGAGGCAGAGCCAGGCGGATCTCTGTGAGTTCGAGGCCAGCCTGGTCTCCAAAGCGAGTTCCAGGAAAGGCGCAAAGCTACACAGAGAAACCCTGTCTCGAAAAACCAAAAAAAAAAAAAAAAAAAACAAAAAAACAAAAAAAAAAAAAAGATTTTAAATTTCCTTTGGCTGTCTTCTAAATATAGAC